AATATATCAGTACATAACACTAGAGAAATATATGAGTATTTCTTTATCACTGCCACATACCTGTTCAGAATCCTTCCAGTTTGTGCATACTATCAGGTTCATATTATCACACATTTTTTCCAATGAAAGTTGTGTTTTTTACATTAAAGTTCTGTCTTTTTTTTTACATTTGTTATGCTTTATATCTAGATGTCTCTCAAGAAGCTTGTGTACTCATTGGCATGTCTGCAGGGAGGTGGTTGTATTATGGGGGTGTTGTGTTATGACCTGCATGAGGAAGATGGGCTCTGATCAGAAGAAGCAGGTACCAGGGTACCACACTCGAGAAAAGACCAGCTAAGGAATTGATTTGCCAGGATTCCTTTCACGGTGCTTAGCCACTGAGGCCTGCACCACCATAATAAAAGGGAGCTGCTCTACCTGGAAGCAGAACTTGGGTTATAGTTCACATGGCTCTGATTTTACAGCCTTTCAGTGTGCAAAAGTTGGGGGGTAGGGCAGTAAGGAAGACTTAACACCCAGATTTCAGAAAATGCCTGAAAGGGTAGGCAGTGTGCCTCTGTCTGTGGTTGTCCAATTATCAGTGTTGGGGCTGACTCCAATGACTTATGTCCCATGATGAAAGAAAACTAGTGACACTAGCAGAGGGCTGATGACCACTCTGTTTATTAAAGGGATACTCTGTGTTAAATTCATAAAGAGAACAAAGGCACTCATAGAGAAATCCTAAAGATAGTTTGAGAAAAGTACATGCTATAGTTGACCTGTTGCTTTAGGAACTGGGCTGAGATGCTAGAGTAAATAGGCTTGGAAACACTTGGGAGCAGCACAGAAAATGTGCCTGCATCCTGCAGCTGCAAGGCTATGGCCTCCCTCCAAGTCACGGCATACTCCATCTGCAGAGTCCTTAGCTGACCTCCCAGGATGGCCACATCTAAGCTTAGATGCAGAGCGCTTCACACACACATTTGCAGTGCTGACTCCCACACCCGACAGGGAGGTGTGAGAGTGAAGCCAAACGTGCAGTGGAGGCCCCAGCATGCTGGAGATGCCACAAACATGGACTGTCAGCTGACGAAGCTCACAAGCAGGAGAACAGAGCCACCTCAAAAGAGAAGCTACCTGGAGTACAACAGACAAAACTGTAAGGGTGGAGCCTCCCAAGCCACTTAAAGTTTGCTTTCTTGCCACAATTTGTTCCAGTTGTTAGATAGGAAACTACAATATACAATGTTTGCCCTGCTGAGTTTTAGTGTTATTTTAGTTCTGTTGATTTCTTTCCCATTTCTTTCTTTGGAATGGGAATATTTATCCTGTGCCCTGTATGCCATCAATGTTTAACTTTCCTTTTGATTTTTGCAAAGGCCCACAGCTAAGAGTTTGCCTGAAGTCTCAGGCTTTTAGACGTGGACTTTTCAGCAATGCTAAAACTGTTAAGACTTTAGCACCTTAGAGATGGACCAAATGTATTTTACATAAAGAGATGCATATAAGGTTTTGGAGACCAGTGCCAGAATATTCTGATTTATATCTAGATCTCTCCTACAAGCCTCATGCACTTTTAGGTGGGGCTTTTGTAAGGTGATTGGGTTATGGAGGAGTTACAGTGGTTTGCTGTTAAGAGGTGAGGGTCTCCTTTGAGTAGGCAGTCACTACAGGTACTACGGTCTGGAAGGTTACATCGCCCTTCCTGGCTCCTCCCTTGACTGTTTCCTGGTCACTATGAGATGAGCAACTTTTACTCTGCCTTATCTTCTCCATGCCGTGGAGTCAGCCAGCTACAGACTGAAACCTCTCACAGCTGTGAGCCAAGGTAACCTCTCTTAAGTTGCAGGTGTCAGATATTTTGTTCGAACAATAAGGAAAAAGACTAAGACAGTATTTCCTTTTACGATGTATTCTAGCTCACACTTTCCATTTCAGGATAACAGAGCAAAATTTAAAATAAAGATCTACTGTTCATTTGTCAGTGGTGTTCATTTTCACAAATACTTTGAAAAAATGTTACTTTTTTATGGGCAAACTGTGTTAATTAGTCTGCTAGGGTTGCTGTAAGAAACTGTAACAGACCGGATGGCTTAAATAATAGAAATTAATTTTTTCCTGTTCTGGAAACTAGAAGGCCAAGATGAATGTGTCAGACAGTTTGGCACAGCCTGAGGTCTCCTTTTGGCTCACAGATGACTGGCTTCATTCTAAGAATTTTGTCACGCAACCTTTTCTCTCTGCCTATATTTCTCTGATGTCTGTTCATCTTCTTACAAGAATAATAGTCACATTGAGTTAGAGCCATACCCCTTACGACTTCACTTAATCTTAATTCTTATAAACCTTGTCTTTAAATATGGTCCTATTGGGGGATGTGTTTTGGGGGGACACAATTCTGATCACAGCTGGTAGCAATACTGTTTGTCAGATAGTCTGTGTATCTTTCCCTTGGGGGAAACATCAAGTGTTATGAATAAATATGAGAAATTATCATTTATATATGGTATCAACTTTTTTGAAATATAAATTTATATGTGAACCACTTATGTGAGATATCAATTATAAGTGAACATAAAATAGCCACTAACTACTTTTTGGCTCTTATTAAACTCACAAAGATTTAGCAAAAGAACAGCCAGACAGATCAGCAATTCACACTTCCACATTTTGTTTGCCAGAACAAAGAAATCTCCAGACTTAGAAATGTGTGCTCATGAAGCCAGGTCCACAGAACTGGTCTTTATTCTCTGAATATGTGGTTTTCTTATATGAAAGGAGCCAGGGTTTTACCTAAGTGGCCTTAATATGCAGAATCACAAAACTGAGGCACTTTATCTCCAAACATACAGTTGAACAAGGACTTTGTATTACTTGTCCACAAGTACAAGTAAAAGTGTTCCCTCCCCTCATAACAATCACAGCAGTTTGTTTGAAAAAAATCACTTTACGTTTGACTGAAGCATTTACAATGCTTCCAGTTGTGAATTTTGTTAGCGCCTTGTTTAGGGTTGCCAGATTTGCCATATAGAAACAAACATGCCCATTTAAATTAGAAGTGCAGCTAAGTGATGACTGTTTTGAGTGCTTACATGTCTCATTCTATATTTGGAACACATTTGTACAAAAAAATTCTTCATGGGATATACTAAAAAAGGATTTGATAGTTTTCTGAAATTGAGTTTTCACTGTGGGAAATCTGTATTTTTCCTGGCCACCCTGCTTTAAATTAAAGAATGAATCCTTTCTCCTTGCAATTCCCTGTGCCCGCCCTCTCCCATCTTCTTAAACTGCATCACTATCTTTGTAAATGTACTTTTCTAGTCCTAAGTTGATGTTGCTTTTAAACTCTGCCCCAAAGCATAAAAACACCAGGCCTCAGGCTCCCTTCCATGTAACTGCTGTGATGTGTGGTTACAAACACATGTTTACAGCATTAAAGTTAGCTGACTCCGACTTCTCCCTCTTTATATCCATGTCCAGTACTACTTGTGACAGTGTTAGCAGACTTTAGGGATGGAATAATACTATGAGAAATCTCTGTATCCTAAGCCCTGGGCTCAGTCTGTTCATCTGTGAAATCTGGAGATTGGATTCAAGGCGTTTTCCCTAAGACTCTTTCTTTCCATTAATTCTTTCGTTTACATGGTGAAACCTAGATTGCTCTTATTTCATAAGAATCTCTTTACTCTTCAAGTAAGTAGTGTTTGGATTACTAAATAAGTAATGATTAGCTTACTCAATTAATAATTAATAAGTCCACTTTAAAAGATTTGTTTGACCTAAATTCCTTAAGAGGCAAAAGCACACCCTTTCTTTCTTTCTTACCCATCCTCCCTTCATTACCAGACTTTTCCCACAGTGGGAGAGCAAAAGCTGTGATCCTGAAAATGCTGGCTGAAATACTGAGAATGTCGAAACATTCCCATTGCTTTGGACTCTGGCTGTTGGAAATAATTTTGCTGTTAACGTGAGACTCCGCGGGTTGAGACGTGGTGGGAGCCTCGCCTTGTTCTCTACCGCCATCTAGCGGCGATAGGATTGGCCTTATCCTCTCAATTTGGAATTCACACTGCAAAGATTTTAAAGATTGTAAATCAAAAATGGATGAATTATTTTATTCTTGTCATTACAGTAAAAAGGGACTTATGGAGTGTTTCAGCAGATAAAATGTAATAAAGCTTAATAAAGTTTAAGTATAATACAATGGCAGAGTTTAGTACTTGAGCAATATAGATTAAATTTGTGCAATTTAATCTTTTTAATATGTTCAAATATTAACTTAAACACTGAAAACAGAAAATAAAGCCTAACATAAAGTGTTTTTTTAAAAAATTATCTTTATCAAGTGTTCTTGTATAGCGTTAAGTAATTTTTCTTTTTTTTTTTTTTTACACTTTTTTTTTCTTTTTTTATTTTTTTTTATCGGTACCGGGGATCGAACTCACGACCGCCTGCTTGCAAGGCAGGTGCTTATGCCGCTGAGCTAAATCCCCAGCCCCAGTAATCTTTCTTTAAAATAAATGTAATCATAGTAAATGAAAAAGAATAAGATAAACCCTAAGTTGGTGCTGAATATCTCAGTTCTGTATTTAAACACTGTATTCAATTAAGTTAGAGTTCTGCTGTCATTATTATTTATAAGTTTAATATAATGCTTAATGGGTGTTGAATATTCAGTTTTAATATCCTTTAATCTGGAACTTTCTTCAGATGGCATAATACTGGGTTTAATTGTGTGAACTAAAGTAAAAATAAATTTCTTTAATGAATGAAGTAAAATATTTCGGAAGTGTGGCTTTTTACCCATTAAAGATTCTTTTCACTGATCATTTATTATAGGAAAAATATTTCTTCCATTTTAACATTATTCTGACTTTCCTTTTATTTTAATTTGATACGGCAACACTATTCTGAAATATTTATATTTTTTAACAAAAGGTATTTAATTAGTGCACCACGTTGTTTCTTAATTCCCTTGAGAGAGAACTGAGCCCTCTTCAATTTGTTTTCAGGGTGGGAAAATCCCCATCAGGTGGACAGCCCCAGAGGCCATAGCCTACAGGAAATTCTCCTCAGCAAGTGACGCGTGGAGCTACGGCATCGTCATGTGGGAGGTCATGTCCTATGGAGAGAGGCCTTACTGGGAAATGTCTAACCAAGACGTAAGTGCACTGCAGGGCAGGCCTGTTGTTTTGTGAGTAGGAACACTTTCACTTTTGAGAGAGAAATACACCTTTTGTTCTCACTCAAATTAGTCCTTATCTTTTTAAGAGCTGCCCAGTGTCAAGGGCTAAATTTGAGCAGCTGAGAAAATTTTCACTCTGAGTTGATTTTGAGATCCTGGCCAGCTAACAGATTTTGCCCTATAAGTACCTGATCCAGGTGTTACCTCTGAGACTTCCTCATTGTTCTGATGTGGCAAGACTGTGCTTATGCAACAGTCTGGATGTACAATAAAACACAAGAGTAACACTTACTTTTCATTTCGGCTATAAAGCTATTCAGTGCCTGCTGTAGAAGGCAAATAAATTTAGGCTACATAGCACTTACAAGAAAGAGTACATGCCTTCAAACAATGCTTTATCAACATATGTCATCCAGTATCTTTCTTTTGAGATACATGATACTGTGTGAACCTGTCTTGCTTTTATTTCCCTGTAATAATTACTTTGGTGGCTGATAATATTACAAAACAGGACAGTTCATACATTTAATTTCTATGACGTCCCCACAATGGTAGAAACAGTGATCAGTGCACTATCCAAAGTTTTATTTCCTGCTTCCTCATTTCAGAATTGAACTTTGTCTACTCATTTGCTTTCCTCAAAGAAACTGATGTTTTCTGAGACTGTGGTGATAAGAAATCTAATGTGATTTTGAATGTCCATAAGTACAAAGAAAGACTATGTAGCCGTAGTTCCAAAAGGAGTTTGTGCTTTGATCATTTTTTCATGCGTGTATCTTACAATTTAAGCAACTACTTTGAAGATAATAATATGCAATATATTAATCATTATTAATTTCCTATTACTTTGTTTTCAAATTCTGTATCATTGTTTTTATTCTTTTTTAGTTATAAAATAAAAAATACATACACACAGTACAATTATTGCAATATCTCAACTGCTTTCTTCCATTTAATCATCTGAGCAAAACTTTTATACCTCCTCACCTCACACTTTATTATTCCATCCTAAATTCAAATTGTTCAGGTTTATTAAGTACTTTAGTCACACAGACTTAAGTACTTACTAAAGCTTATTTTTTTTCTAATGCCAGGCATAGACAGGTTTGGCATTTAGTTAGCTGGCAACAGGTAACTTTTCTAAATGCCATACTGAATTGCTTTTGTAGCTCAGTTCTGTGGGTGTCTACCAATTGTGGATAATGCCAAATCTAGAAACCTACACAGCAGTGGTGTCAAAATTAAACACCGCGCAGACTTTGCCTTCCAATGCACAAAATCAAAACACAAAGCCGGCATGGCAGTACTGGGGAGCACCTGGCCTCCTGCACAAATAGGCCATAACCAACAAACTCTGCTCCATCCCCTTAACTTGAATGTTTTTGAGTAAATACATTTTGACTATAGGCTGCTATTCCTCAAGGAATTTTGTTTGAAGGACCTCATTGATATCTCCTGCTACTTGTCATCTATGGAGTAGCTCTTCTTAATGTTCATTCCAGAAGCATATTTGTTCTTTACTCAAAAAATAAACTCACATTTTGGGTTATGATTTTGGTTTATTATTTATTGTTTATTATTTGTTGTTTCTAGCCAGTTAGATAACGGAAGTCTTTGTTTCAACATAGTTCCTGCTCTGCTCTAAACCCAAGCTATCATTAGCCTGTTTATCCTATTTTGACACTACTGAAATAGCCATCCAAGCAAATGTCCAGAATTAAGTCCCCTCTAGATGAGTTAATCTTCACTACAAGGAAGAGGCTGCCCTGCAAGTACTTCCTGTATTTTTATGTCACTTAAGCTTGCTTTAACCAATTCTCTAAACATCTAAATATTGCCTTAAAAAGTGCTAAACTTGACTAATATAACCCCATGAGTAAAAAGTTCTTTAGTATCTACAGATGAATATGGGTATTTATTTGCACATTGTGTACAAATAGTATTGTACTAATATAGTCATCTAAATCATTTATTAGATGTTTTTGTTATTCTAGGAAAAGGGGTTACAGAAGAGAATGTTATGCCTGTAAAGGACCATAAAACTTAGTCCAGTCCCTTTGTTTAGTTGGGCATAAAACTAAAGCATAGAGAACTAACATTACCCTAGAATCACATAGTAATTTATTTGTCAGTGCTCTTAGAATATAATTCTAATATATTCCTAGATTATGTCATGGCCAAGGAGAAGAGAAGAAAGAATACTGGCTTTCTTCATGATGGTTGTCTAACAATCCACATAGCTCCCTATGCAGAGCTGGCAGTGCCTTGCCCTCATGGACCCTACAGTTTAGTAGGAGGGAGTTAGGCTGTATACAAACAAATAAGTAAAAGACATAGTATGTGATATGATAATATATTAGTAATGGGAGTAAGAAAAACAAGATAATTAGTTCAGAAATGCTGAGAGTTTGTTAAAAATAAATTTTGAATACTGTAAAATATATTCATAAAAGCCATTAATTTATGGTCATAAGTCATAATTAGTCATTCTTATTAGTTACTCATAGCCATTCTTATAACAGAATGGGACAAATAAATATAAAGATAAATGTCATGATTATTTCTGACTCCTAGGTTTTCTTACATTGTAGGATACATTGCAGTTACCAATTTAGTAGCAAGATCCATGGTTATCTGGATTAAGATTCAACCATGAAAGTCACTTAATGTTTCAAATTACCTCAATTTCATGGCCAATAAATACGATAAAAGGCCTGAATTTGAAGAATTATAATGTCTTTTTTAATAGTAACATGCTAAGATTTTATAATCTTTGAAAACAAACGACAGCAGGAGTGCCGCGGGTTTGAGCTCAGCCTAAGCAGCTGAGTGACTTAGGGAGATCCTGCCTCAAAACTTTACAGTAAACTAAACAAATAACAAAAAGGGATCCAGGATGTAAATCAGTGTGAAGGCCCTGAGTTCGCTCCAGTAGTTGAAAAAAATGATTCAAACTGTTCTTTCCTGATCACCATGGAGGTACCAAGAAGCAGGATTCCACAGAATGCAGCAGGTACAAGCGAGGACGCCAGCCCCCAAGACAGATGTTTGAGGCAGCCACTTCTTCAGGAAAAGACCCAACTGTTCGATTTGCAACATAGGACGCCATGTAAATTGTTCTTAATTGTTGCCTACAGTAGTCCAGACTGTTGTTAGCTTCTCCCTGCCTGGATCTTACCCAACCATTTACACAGCGATGCTGGCCATGGATCTGAATGATCTGTATCCAAGATGACCATTTAGAGAGTGGTTTTGTGTGTTAAACCTCATTTGGCTGAAGAGAATCTTTTCTGGAACTGGAGAAGCTGTTGCAGCCAGGAGTAGACTCCTGATGTCCTGCCCAGTCTCCTTTGTTCAGGACTGCCAGTGTTCATGGCACAAGGCTCAACTCTTTCTCTACCCAGTGCTTGGCTGATTCTATAGGCCAATGTAGGGTCTAAATGAGTGTAATGAACAGTCAAACAAGAGTCTGAGAATAGGGAGAAAAACAGTAGAAGTTATGAGGCAGGGAAAAGATAAACCTTGAGGTCTTCAGATCAATATAAGACTAGAGGAAAGTAGCAAGAGTTAGTTTTTTTGTGTATCTTGTAAACAGATTTTGCTGCTACCATAAAGAGAGTTAGAATTCTGCTTAGCTAGACGTATTGGAAGTCAGGATATCTGTGACACATCATGTAACCAGAATTTCTGTTCAAAAGAAGATATAGTTTAATCAAACATTTCCCAGCTGTTCTTTCCAAATTCTGGATATTCGCTATTTGTCCTGCATTCCTTATTTATTTGGTCAAAGTATAGGTTTTTGATTGACTTTTTCAAACTAAACTGCATCTTAATATGGCAAAATAATAAAAATTTGTCTTGTGTTCTGTTTGAATATTTTATACATTTTACTATATTTTCATAGGTTTTACAAAGCTGTGAGTACAAACCAAATGTGATGTTACCATGCTTTATGACTTTTAAATGTTTAGGAAATTTCAGATAAGTTTTATGAAAGTGTCTCCATTTTTCAGGTTGTGGTATATTTTATTACAAAAGCAATTCTGCATATGCAGAATTTGTCTTAGTGCATAGTATAATGAGTTTTCTAAATGTCAGTGCTATTGTATTTTAGAGAAAGAAAATGAGAAATAGCAAGAGTGTTAGTTTATAAAAAACTAAAGGAAAACAACCACAGGTGCAATCTCTTTAGTTATTACACAGGTGCCAGTCACTGCAGTAAGTGTGATTTGGAGTAGGGTGGAGAATTTGAAAACTCAGGCCTCCATTGTGTTAACTAAAGTAAACTAAGCACAAAAAAGGCAAACACTGATCGATGGAAACTTAAGAGTTGATTTCTTAGTAGAAAACAGTAGGCAGTAAAGGCTAAAAAGGGGAGATGGGAGTACCATGATACAGCTAATCAGGAAAAACAAGTTGTAATGTCTTATGTAGCACAGTAAGGTCACTGTAATCGACAAAAAGCTGTATTTTCTGTAAAGAGCCAAAAGAGTGGAGTTTGAAGGTTGTGAGTGCTCAAAGAAAATAAAATGTTTATGGAGATGGAAATAATTACCATTTAATTATCACACATTGTATGCATGAATAGAATTTCCATACTCTACCCCATAAATATGTATAGCAGAAAAGAAAAGCAAACCCAGTTCTTACTCAATGCACCCATTTTTAGAAGGGAGAATGCAGTTATAGTATTTATAAGTCTTACCCATGCTTGAACTAGAATGACATTTGTCAAGAGTACAGTCTATGCTTTTTTCTTCTCAGAAACAACATTGTGTGAACACAACACAGTTATTTTTTTCTAAATATAATTACTGAAAAAATATATGGCAAGAAAGCATGCACACTATTATTCAAGGTTCTTTTGATTATAAAAAGATAATTTGTTTCATCTGGAAACAAGGAGGGTAGTTTAGCATGCTGCATCTAGAGGGACTATGAAATATTGTTAGCACTTGCCTGAGTTTCTTGACCTTG